AGGTAGGATGTCAGGCGCCAGCCACCAGTGCCCTGCTATACTGTGTCATTTTAGCGATGTCTTATGTAAGCTTATTCTGTTTGTCAATATAAATATTGTATACATATTTTTGGTTCACACATACATGTGCATAACCATACACACTCTCCTAGGGATTCTGGGAAAACAAAGCAGTGTGCAAGAAGGGCAGGCAGCTCTGGCTAATGAGGCAAGAAGCTGGTTCCTAGGCCTGACTCTGCCAGCACTGTGTGCCCTCTGCGAAGTCCCTTCTAGACTCTGGGCCTCAGTCTCCTCCTGATGAGATGATCTGGGAGATCTCAGGAAAGCCCAAGCCCCACCATGTCTGGCCCCTGACTTGTCTGGTTTTACATGAGCAGACACAAAGGAAGCCAGTGAGGCCACTAGTCCCCAAGAATTCAGAAAATGTGGGGTCTTCATTGCAGGCAAGGATTTCAGGAACTATCTTGGCTTCTCCTGGAACCTGGAACTGGTAGAATCCCACAGTCTCCATAGGGATCTAGCCAGAAACGTGGGGGATGCCTTCTCTCTCAGTAGCTCTTCACCCAGCACCTCTGGGAAGGCTGCAAGAGATCAGCCACAGGGCCAGAGGAATAGGCAAGAGTTGAAGACACCTCTGTGACTAAAGAGAGTTTTCTCCAAAGGCTTTGGAAAATGTTTATCTTAGGGATGGTTTTTCCTCAGGAAGTAGGCTTATAGCTACAGGGTAAGTTCCTGTGTAAATGTTTAGAAACATTGCAAAAGAGCTGCTTTGGTCTTTTGGTTGGTGATGATGGGAATAGCCAGATCTTGGGGTGTACTGTCAAAGCAGCAAGAGTACTCAGGTAAGCCTTGTAAGCATAAACCAGTCTACTCCATTCCTCACTGGAGGAACAGTATCTACCATTCATTGGTATTCATTGCATGCTATGTATGTTCAACATTTATTGAAAAAAAATACAATGGATAAATGACTAACTTTATTCAGCGCTTTTTTTTTTTTTTTGGGGGGGGGGGGTCCAGTCGTGGGGCCTGAACTCTGGGCCTGGGCGCTGTGCCTCAGCTCTTCAGCTCAATGCTAGCACTCTACCACTTGAGCCACAGTGCCACTTCCGGCTTTTTTCTTTTTGCTTATGTGGTGCTGAGGAATTGAACCCAGGGCCTCAGGCATGCAAGGCTAGCGCTCTACCACTTGAGCCACAGCGCTACTTCCGGCTTTTTTCTTTTTGCTTATGTGGTACTGAGGAATCGAACCGAGGGCCTCAGGCATGCAAGGCGAGAGCTCTACCACTGAGCCACCTTCCCAGCCCCTAAATGACTAACTTTAGAACTCCACTTTTTCTGTTCTTTTAGGTCTGAGACTGGGACTCAAACTCAGTACCTGCCACTTTTGCTCACTGGCTAGCACTCTATCAACTGAGCCACAACTCCAATCCCTAAAACCTCACTTTTTAATTATTATATCCTCCAATCTGCCTGACATTTCCACAACCCATTTACCACCCATACAGAGCTAAGTTAGCCAAGCAGTCAAAGACCTCTCTGGTAGCCAAGCATGGTAGTGAGCATCTGTAATCCTAGCACTTGGGAGGTGGAAACAGGAGAATTGTGGGGGGGAAAAAGACCCTTTTAGAATAGGAGACACCTGAGACCAGGAACCTCATCTGTCCTGTTGATCACTGTACTCCAATCCCTAGACTACCAACTGACATTTGGGAGGCATTCAGCAATGATTACTTTTGCTAAATTAGTACATCTAATACTATCTCCAAATTATCAGACAGGAAAATCAAGGCCAAAAGAGACAGGGCACTGCCTGCCCATTGTTTTTTTTTTTTTTTCCTTTTAAAATGAGTCAAGGCAGCATGGACAGGCCCTTAGGTCTTCAGCCTCTCAGCTGGACCAGAGCTTTCTCCCCTGGATTAAAGAGCCCACGGTAAAGTCCTCCCACCTTCCCATAGCCCTTCCCACGTTCTTCATTCTCTCAACTCCCAGCTTTCCCTCTTTTATTTTCTCTGCCAGCTCCATAATTAGCCATTGGAAACAGAACCCATAATTATTTTCTCCCCCATGCCCTTAAATTGCTTTCATTTTGGGCTCTGTGACCCCTATCCTGGGTGGGGCTGGGCTCCCCTTCAGCATCTCCCCAAGGGGGAGAGCCAACTTAACAAGCACCAGCTGGGGCTATAGTCCCCCCCACACACCCATCCAATGCCAGCTGTGCAGGAGGCTAGCAGCAGATGGGCAAGGAGGGTCCCTAAGCAGGCTGGGGCTGACTCAGCTGGGGTGTCAGTGAGACTGTGACGTGCCTAGGCAGGACAGGAGGCTAGGCAGGCAGGCAGGCAGGCAAGCAGGCGGGCCGGATTTCCGAGAGTGATTGATGCCAGGTGGCCAGAGGGCCGCTTGCTCAGCAGGGCCCAACCTAGGATGGCCCAAGTTGGGTCTGGATCATTCTTGACATTCTTCAGCTTACCTTCATGCTCCTGTTTAGACAGTGCCAGGCCCTCCACATTGGTTGTGCCATACGGATGTCAGATGTCTCCTGAGAGCTTAAAATTGACCCAGTGCTGGTAGACACCAGTGGCTCACGCCTGTAATCCTAGCTACTCAGGAGGCTGAGATCTGAGGATTGCAGTCCCAAGCCAACCAAGCAGAAAAGTATGAGACACTGTTATCTTCAATTCGCCACCAAAAAACTGGTATCTCAAGTGGCACAGTGCTAGGGCTGAGCACAAAAGCCTTGAGCCCTGAGTTCAAGCCCCAGGACCAGCAAAAAAAATGACCTAGTGCCAATAAAGTTACAAGCACTTTGGCCTTCCAGTTTGACGACGCTTGTGCCTTTAGGAAAACCAAGGCCTGCACCTGCTCAGTTTGGCTTCATAGGCAAACAGAGTTCAGCCTGCAGAGGTAGACAGGCAGCCCCAACCTCACCTGGGAAGCATCCTCTATCCCTGACTCACCAGGAGCCTGTGCCCAGCTGGGACAGGAAGGAGTGGAGGGTGGGGCCTGTCTGGGGCCTACCACTGAAGGCTCACACCTCCTGCCTCCAGCTAGCTAAGCTCAGTCCCTCCCTGACCCAAGACAGATGGGAAGGGAATGGAGGTAGGGAAAACTCTTGTTCTTCAAGATTCTCAAGAAAGAGGCAAGAAGTTGGGGAGTAGAAGAGAATGGGAGTCACACCCCTCACTCTCATTTACTCCTAGTGTAATAAAAGGTCTAATCTTGAATCCTAATACCCCTGTCTACTTGATGTGCATTTGGGGGCAAATTATAGCCCCTAGTAGGGTGTCTGTTTCTTCCTTTCAAGGGTGAGGCAAATAATTCACCACCTGCCACCCTCACAGTGGCATTTTAGAGATAAAATATGTGTTGGACACTGTGAAACAAGGAATACAAAGTAGTGCCAGCTACAGCATCCATGCTGGGCAAGACCTAGTCACAAATATCCTGGGCTGTTGGGTGAACTCTTCATGCTTTCCTTGGCCCTCTCCTAGTGTTTTACTTTACATGCCCACAGCTTACTCCCTAGACTCCCAGGGACTCCATCTCCCATGTGTCACCAGCAAGGACAGCTGGTACCCTGTAGTGCAGGGTGGGGTGGGGTGGGGTGGGGTGGGGTGGGGGGAGGACTAAAAGACTCATCTAACCTGGGTCTAGCATTACCTCAACTGGAGGTAATAATCTGGCCTGAACCAGCCCTAGTTAGAGACCCCCAGCACAAGCCAGGCCCTACTCTGGGCAGGCAGTCAAACAGCAGAGGCCTCATCTGATCCAGGCACTTCCTTTGGTTAATGAGAAACCAAATAAACAGCCTCTGCCCCAGCTGGCTCCAGGAGCACCCCAGCCAGGCCCAGCCTTGCTCTAGCCCAGCCTCCTCCCTCCTGCCCTGCCCTGTGTTCCCAGGGCTCTCCTCCCCCTTCCTTCTCCATGCATTCCCTACTTCCCACAGAACCCTGCCTGCTCCTTGGATGGCTTACTGGGGTTTTCTGCACTGGATCCCTTAACTCACCTTTCCCTTCCTTCCTCCTTTCTTCTCTTGCCTTCTTACCCATTTTCAGTTATGGGATTTCACTTGTCCTCCTCCTCTGACATATGTGTTAAGTGTCTTTATGAATAACCCCTGAAAAGCCCTACAGGCTGCTCCAGGCTGAAGCAGGAAGGCCCTGGGCCGACAAGCCTGCAACTCTGTTGAAGGATAGAAGCCAAATCATCTTGAGGGCTTTCACTTCATTCTCTGACCTGGGCAAGTTACTCATCAGCCTGTGGGAGGGAGGTTGGGTGCTCAGGGCTGCTCTAGCCTGAGGGCCTCCACTACCGGACAGAAGCCCCCAAATAGATCATGGTTGGAGCTATGCTGTTGCCCAGCTCTGAAGACAGGAAAGAGGAGTTCATTCTGTCTGGAAAGTTAACTGGGAAGTCTCAAAACACCCTAGTATTCAGTGGGAGCAGCAGAGGCTCAGCTCTTGGGAAGTTATTTCTATCCACCTCCAGGCATCCTGAGGCAGGGCAGGGCTGGGCCTGCCAGCAGGTCCAGATCTAGCCCCAGCCAGGTGGTGGCACTACCTGTAGACACACCCAAGTCCCCATGGGAACACCTCCTCCCCCCATCAAACCTTCTTCATTGAATGTGCTGCCTATGGCCTGTGACAGGATAGATTGGGGGGGGGGGGGGATGGAAATGGACCTAAGCTCATTATAGCAGAACAATAGGGCAGAAAACTGGGGGGGGGGGGGAGGAACAGAGTGAGATGCACAGGCACTTGAAATGTCTTGCTCCCCTTGGATAGCACCCCCTTCCACTTCCCCATACCTATCTGGATGAACCATGATTTGGCTATAGGAAATCTCACACATGTGTGCATGTACACAAACACACTCCTGTGTACACAAATGTTCACAGTTCACACTCAATTCCCCAACACCATGACACCATTTTACACCCAGTTCTCCATGTGGTTAATTTTTTTAGTTCTCATTTTTTTCTAAGAAAAAAGCAACAAGAAAATAATTCGGAGTTTATACAAAACATCTTTACATTATTTCTTCCAAAAAGACTAGTATTTACACAAATGGCAACAGAAACAAAAACAAAACAAACAAAAAAAAACCCCTTCCAATTGCCACCTGGAAGGGGCTGGCTGTTCTCCTCTCTCTCCCACCTGGCACTAGGGTGGGCAGCCGGCCAGGAGGCAATGTGGAGGGAGGTGGCTGGTAGAAGGCCCAACTCCTTCCTTCCATGGCCACTGGGAGTGCCTTCCTGCAAGGCTCACTGGAGTCTGTTAGCAGCCATGCTAGCAAGGAGCAGGGGTCAAAGTGCACTGCAGGCTGGCCCAGCCCCAGGCAGCCTCTTCCTCTTTCCAGGCCCCAGCCCGTAGGTGGGGAGGGGCAGTGGGAACCAGATTGGGTAAAGGTACCCTACTTGTGCTAGAACCCAGAAAAGAAGCGGGCCACCTGGCTTTATACCCACATAGGTCTCCACCTCGGGTCTCTATTTCCCTACCAGGCCAAAGAATGCCAAAGTTAAGAAGAGAACAGGGCGGTAGGGAACTCCCAGCTCTGCAGGGCAAATAGCCACCTGGGCACCTCATCTCCCTCCACCCCCCATGAGGTCATCTGCCTGAAGCAGCTCTCTTGTTCCCCAGGCAACAGCCAATTAAGACATTAATTACTGTGAGAGTAAGAGAGGCAGGAGATGCCCAAGAATCCCATAAGGATGGGATTTTTTTTTTTTTTTGGTGGAAGGGTGGCAGCCATTACCCCACTGCCAGGATGAGCTTTATGGAAGGAGGGTCAGGAGTGGATGGTGGGACACTTTGCCCAGTAGCACTCTCCTATTCCCTTGTGGTCAGGAACAGCCCTGGCCAGCCCTCCCCCACACCCCACCCCTGAAATACCAAGGAGTCTATAAAAGAAATGCCATCCTATGCTTCCTGGCTGGCCACATCCTGCCCCAGGCCCTCCTATACTGGGTCAGGCCAGGCTCAGAAAGCCTGGGGAGGGGCTACCTTGTACATTTTTTCCATTTTTATTCAAAAAACAGATGAAAATGAGTTGACAGCTAAAAAAAAACGAACATAAAAGCATTAAAAAACAGTGATGATGATAGTGGACGAGCAGTCCTGGGAAAGGGAAAGGGGGTGAGGGAGGGGGCAGGGCCAGGGGGCTGTCTCCCTGCCTACTGTCCATCAGTGTCCAACCCTGCCCTCCAAGAAAGGGCGCCCCCACAGAGCCCACAGGCCTGGCCAGAGGGGGAAGGCACGAGAGCATGGGGGTCAGGGTCACAAGCACCCCCCTCCAAAGCCCAGGGGGCAGGAAAAAGGGGAATTATAAAAGCCAAGAAACTACAAAACTAAATACAAAGGTGGGCACAGCTGGCAAGGGGAAGGGTGTGGGGGACAAAGGAGAGGTCCATCCAGGCCATCTGTCCCTCGGGGCTCAAAGCTGCTTTGGGCACTCAGACCTTGTAGTAGATGTTCGCTGGGCTCTGGGGTGGCATCTCCTGGACGATGTAGACGGGGTGCCCGTAGTCCCCACTCACCTTCTCATAGTGGGGGCAGTAGTTGTTCTCTGTAGTCCGTAAAGGGATGATGATGTCGCTGGGCTCAGTGCCCGCTGTGCCACTACCCCCTTTAGGACTGGCCAGGGTACTGAGTGACAGGGCAGCGGCTCGCTGCTGTGTGTGCTTGCGGTGTCGCTTGCGCAGCTTAAGTAGTAGGACGGTCAGGAAGATGATGATGAGAAGGAAGATGACACAGCCAGCACCAACGGCTGCAAACAATGCCACCTTGGAGTTGAAGAAGCTGTCGGCGTCCCCGCTGCTGCCCCCACCTGCACCTGAGCCACTCTTCTCTTCCTGGTTCACAGTCTCTGAGGAAGGGGGAAGGAAAGGAAGGAACGGTCAGCCTGAGGAAGATGACGTGGCCAACACAAATGGCCACAAACAAGAGATGAAGAAACAGTCATGGTTCTTGCTGTCACCCATGTTTGCCAGGAGATACATAGCAGGTCTCAGGCTGGACTCAGCCTGCATTTCTTTAGACACAGGGCAAAGAAGGCAACTGAGCAATAATGACTTCTGCCCTTTAAGAATCACCTGTCTAAACTTACCATGCTTGCCATCAGAGTCACCCTGGTGGCCCCGGCCAGGGGCCTGGGTGGCTGTCTTGACAGTGTTGTCTGCCTCCTTGCTGGGCCGGCTGGTAGTTAGTTGCTCAGGTGTCACAGCATTGGGATCTGAGAGCAAGGAGACAGGTGAGAAGGTGGGACTCAGGATTCTGCTAGCATGAACACACTTAATCACGCTGGTGGCTCACGCCTGTAATCCTAGCTACTCAGGAGGCTGAGATCTGAGGATCGCAGTTCAAAGCCAGCCCGGGCAGGAGAGACCGTGAGACTCCTATCTCCAATAAACCACCAGAAAACAGGAAGTGGTGCTGTAGCTCAAGTGGTAGAGTGCTCGTCTTGAGCTGAAGAGCTGAGGGACAGCACCCAGGCCCAGAGTTCAAGCCCCACGACCGACCAAAAAAAAAAATAAAGAATGGCCTCAATGCTAGAAGGAATCATGTTGAGCGAGGTAAGCCAAGAGCAAAGAGACAAACGGTACATGGTCTCCCTGATAAGTGGATGCTAAATCCAAAATGTTAGGTGATACGACAAAATTAACAGGACTTAAGAAACAAAGAACTCCCACTCATCTGGTCGAACCACTACTAAATATCCCCATGCTGCTGATCACATGTATGGTGTATATGTGTACACCGTTATATGTTATTGACTGTGATAGACAATTTGCTCCAGGAAACTTAGAATGAACTTGTGACTTTAAATGAGCATCATTATTCCATAATACTGTGAAATTTGGGAAATTATGTAATCACTTAATCACAATTAAAAAAAAAAAGAACCTCGGGGAAGGTAGGAAGAGAAGGGATGGTGGGGGGAAAACAATGGAGGGGGTAACAAGGCTCAATAGGAAGTGTACTCATTACCTTGCTCATGTAACTGTCACTCTCTGTATAGTATATTTACAATAAAAAATTAAAAAAAGAAGAATGGCCTTAATATTGGACCTCAGCTACTCAAAGCTCTGGCCCCTCCCTCACTCCCAACATACCCAGTCAGCCTGAGTATTTACCTTGTCCAACTTTCATGACAATCTTCATGGTGCGTGTACGGCATACACCTCCCTCCCGGTTCTCCAGCCCCTCCAGGCTCCCATTAGATGTGGCTGCAGGAAGATACCAAAGCAGATAGAAGTTGGGAAGAGGGAACATGTCTGCCATCCTTACCCAGAAACCCCAGTGCTGCCTCAACAACAGTAACACAGAGTCATCTAGGAAGAATGGCCTAGAATGGCTACTAGGGGTGAAGTGTGGCAAGCAGCTCTGATTTACTCATGAACCCTTCTTCTGCTTTCCCTCCCTCTTCACCTCCCTCCCACTAAGAATAAAGTAGCCCAGTTCAGCCAGGCCAAGCCCAACCCCTCTCTATGGGCTCTGCTCCTCATAAGTAGGCAATACTAAGGTGTGCCTTCTCACTGGGAGCTGCTTCCCAGAGGGCAAGCAATGAAACTGGCATTATGAAAGGGGCTTTGAGAAGCCTGGAAGGAATTCTAGATTGGGGGTAAGGAGAACCAAGCTGAAGTCTCAATCCTTTCTCTAACTCATTATGTGGCCTACAGCAAGAAGCCCATTCACCTTTCTGTTTTTATGCTGGGGATGGAAGTCACAGCCTTATAATACCAGATAAATACTACTACTGAACTATATTCCCAGCCCCTGCTCATCTTTTAGGCCCTCAGTTTCCAAGGAAGAACTGTCTGATCCCAAAAGGCTCTGCCAACCTAGCCATTCCCAAGAAAGAGAGAACGCAACATGATCAGAGGCCTCTTCCACTCAAGCCCTGGAGCCAAGGCAATCTGGCAAGAGGCCACATGGTGATTGTTGGGTCCAGAATTTCAAGGCCAGGCAAGGAGGAGAGCATGCTAGTCTTCAAAGGGGATCAGATCAGGCAGAGCTTCAACTGTGTGAGGTAGCTGGGCACCACACTGAAGCTCCCACTACTGTGAGGAGGCAGGAAGCTAAGCTTAGGGAGAAAAGCATACAATGTGAGTATAGGGACTCACAGGTAATGTAGTAATCATGGTACTTTTTGAACTCCAGGCCCATGTAGTTGGGGCTGAACTCCTGGAACTTGATGGTAAAGCGGATTTCTTGCTGTGGTCTGTTGCAGGTGACTAGCACGTTGGGGTCCAGCACAGTACTGCAGGCAGCTGCCTGTTCTGGCCGTACCAAGTACAGCTTGTAGTACTCATAGGGCCGCCCCGCTTCTGCTCGGGGGCAGATAATGTCCAGCTTGTCTCCAATCTTCGGATAGATCACCAAGCCCTTCCCACTCAGGAACCTGCCCAGGAGAGAAGAGATGGTCAGCCTCAGGGTTGCAGGGCCCAAGATATCACAGAACCAGGAGAATAATCCATGAGAGGCTGGGCTGGGGCAACATGGTAGGAATGGTGAGAGTAGGCCTTCCACTGTTCCTTAAACTTCATGTTGGGGGTGGGGAGACAGAAACACACTGCCAGCAGGGTGTGGAAGGGGTGGCCCATAGGCAAGGCTGCCAGGCTTTGAATGCTTGGCAGGGTGGGGCACTGCCTGGCTGGGGGAGCCCTTTGTCCTAATGTGGCATTTCCGCAGGGGACTGACGTGGCCAAATGGGCTGGGTACCAAAGTGTCAGGCCCAGGCTGCCTGAAGGTGGCACCTGAACCCCTCCCCCAACAACTCACATTCTTTCATGGCTGCTGCTACCTACCTACCTAGACACACACACACACACACACACACACACACACACACACACACACACACACACACACACACACACACAAGCCCACACTTGCCTTAGCTCCTACCCCCGCAGATCCCAGCCAAAGGCTAAGGGAGGCTCAACCTGTCTGGGACCCATGTCTTCCCCTCCCCCTCCCCCTTGCTAATCTTGTGCGTGATAGGGGAGGTAGGAAGAAACACATCACTCAGCCAAGAGATGGGGGCCATGGTTTCTAATCAGATATATCCTTATAAATATCCTATTGGTGACCCCTCCTCTCATAATGTAAGAGTTTGAACCTTCAATCTTGAGTAGCCTCAAGAACAAAGAGAAAGAAGAAGGGGTCTAACCAGGGCCAACAGATTATAGTAAATGGGGCCCCAGAACCCCATTCATCACCTCCACACCACTCCTAGTCGAGATCCTTAAAGGACATAGAAGAAGACCTTAAGCATGGGTTTTAGTGTTAAATCTGGGGGAAACAAGAGTGGTTGGTGGCCCAGGATCCCCTGGGCATTAGAAAGTACATTAAGAATAGAGCTCCGTTGGCTTTTTTCCAAGCTGGGGCACAGCAGAGCTAAGAGTAATGTGGTACCATGTTAAAGAAAGGACATAGCTCTGTGGTCCTGATGAGCCGTCTAGTATCTCTGAACTTCATTTCCTTCACTTACACACTGGGGGTGGGAAGAGCCTTATCAAGGTTGTGGAGGGGGAAACAAAAGTGCATGGTCAGCACCTAGCAGCACACAGTAGGTACTTATTATGCTTAAATACTTCTTAGAAATAGTATATCGAGGTGCCGGTGGCCCACGCCTATAATTCTAGCCACTTAGGAGGCTGAGATCTGAGCATCACAGTTCAAAGCCAGCCGGGGCAGGACAGTCCATGAGACTCTTATCTCCAGTTAGCCAACAGAAAACTGGAAGTGGAGCTGTGGCCCAAGTGATAAGAGTGCTAGCCTTGAGCTGAAGAGCTGAGGGATAGCAACCAAGCCCAGAGTTCAAGACCTATAACCAACAAAAAAAGATAGTCTATCATGAAGAAGTCAGATACTAATAGGAAGTACCTGAGAGTCCCATCTCATTTTTAGTAGGCTGGAAATAGGAAGAGCTGATACAGTCCTATAGACTATAAATTTGTTTGCCCCAGAAAAGTAAATGGTGCACACTACAGCAATAGGTATCCCCAAATAGCTGCAAGTTACATGTGCGGGTAGTGTTTCAAAAACAGCTAGGGATGGAGGCAATACAAGGAAGACTGATGGGCCTTCTGAGCACAATGGTCAGAGATGGTTCCACGGGAAGGGCAGGAGGAGGGTAGGTTCTGGGAGAGGGATGAGAAATCAATAGATAACAATAGTAGACAACAGGGTCTGCGACATAAAACCTAAGGGATTGGAGAAGGTAGAGAGGAACAAAAATCAATTAGGTCCAGATTGAAAGCTCTCAAGGACCACCACCAAGCAATGTAAGTTTCATCCCACTGGTTACAAACCCACTGGCAGAAAGGACAATGGAGGGATAAAAACAAGCTTTAAAACAAGCTAGTCAGTGCCAATGGTTCACACCTATAACCATAGCTACTCAGGAGATTGTGATTTAGGATCAAGGCTTCTAAAGAACCTGGCCAGAGGAAGGAGAAACAAAGGAGGAGGCAACAATGTTGATAAGAAATGTACTCATTACCTTGCTCATGTAATTGTAACTCCTCTGTACAGTATTTTCACAATTAAAAAAAAAAAAGAACCTGGCCAGAAAAGTCCTTGCAACTCATCTATAATTAGACAGCAAAAGCCTGAAGTGAAGGTGTGGCTCAAGTGGTAAGAGTGCCAGCCTTGAGAGAAAAAGCTAAGGGACAGCATCCAGGTCCTGAGTTCAAGCCCCAGTATCAGCAAAAAGAAACAAACAAACACAATGGAGAAGAATATTGTCCAGTGTGGCAGTACATAAAGCGATATAAAACAGAATACCAGTATATAAAGCTACCATAATCATCTGGAAAGAGAGTGGTTCCATTTCCTGAGGGCCAGGATACAGAAGAGACAAGCACTGAGGGCCTACAGGAAACTCTGAGAAATGTCTTCACATTGTTAATTTCTGTCTTCATCCAAGGAAGGGACTTAATACCTCACTAGGTGAGGAGGGAAACTGACCAAGGGAATCATGTAGATAAAGAAAATCAGGGCTGGGAAGGTGGCTCAGTGGTAGAGCGCTTGCCTTGCATGCCAGAGGCCCTGGGTTTGATTCCTTAGCACCACATAAGCAAAAAGAAAAAAGCCGGAAGTAGCACTGTGGCTCAAGTGGTAGAGCGCTAGCCTTGAGCTGAAGAGCTGAGGGACAGCGCCCAGGCCCAGAGTTCAGGCCCCACGACTGGAACAAAAAAAAAAAGAAAAGAAAAGAAAAAAAAGGAAAATCAGCCCTCCATCAACGTCATGTGATGCTCCCCTAAACTGAAAGCTGCCATCTTGAGGTGCAGGATGGTCAATGAAGCTAGCCAGCACCAGAGTAAGATGGCTTCCCCTTTGCTCCCTAAGTCTCCATCTCCACAAGGCCAGAAAGGAAGTACAGATGCAGTAGAGTCCCAAATAAACATTTAAAGGTGAATTCCCCTACCACATTCACCATGCAAAGCTTCCAAGTTTCATCAAAGATTCTGTAATTTCCAGGGCATTTTTTAACTTTCCAGTGCTCACACTCATTCTGTCCAGATGGCAGAATTAAATTATTTCTAACATCTTAGAGCCCAAAGGAACTTTAAGAGACCCACCCAGTCCAGGCTCTTCACAATGTGAGAGGAATGATGTGATGAACATTGTCATTGGAGAGAGATGCACAAATCCAATCAGGAGCTTAGCCCACCCAGGATGGCAAGCCTTAGGATAGGTTTGCGCTCGGCTCGTGTGCTCTCTCTCTCTCTCTCTCTCTCTCTCTCTCTCTCTCTCTCTCTCTCTCTCTCTCTCTCTCTCTCTCTCTCTCTCTCCCTCCCTCCTTCCCTCTCCCTCTCTTCCTTTCCCTCTCCCCCTCCCTCTCCTTCTCCCTCTCCCTCTCTTTCCTTCCCTCCTCTCTCTTTCCTTCCCTCCCTCTCTCTCCCCCCCTCCCTCCTTCCCTACCACCCCATCTCTCTCTGTCTTCTCTGTTGTGGTATCTGAACTCAGGACCTGGGTGCTGTCCCTGAGCTTTTTTGCTCAAGACTAGCACCCTACCACTTTAAGCCACAATACCACTTGCAGTTTTCTGGTGGTTAATTGGAGATAAGAGTCTCACGAACTTTCCTGCACTAGCTGGCTTTGAACTGCGATCCTCAGATCTCAGCCCCCTGGGTAGTTTAGGATTACAGGCGTGAGCCACCAGCACCCGGCTGAATCCCTAGGATTCTAAGAGGACCTCAACACCTTGACTGATCTTCGTACAGTTGCACCTCAACAATACATTCAAATGTACCTACATATTGGGCATGGAAAGGGGAAAAGGCCAGCTTACTCTTGGCCCTAGATCTCTCAGCAGAGATTCATCTGCACTGCTCACATTCCAGAGCCCTAAATCAGAATAGGGCTTTTTGCTAACTCAGGGAATCTACCTTGAACCCAGAGACACAGAGAAAACAGATGTCTACATGGTGGGGGAGGGGGAGAAGAAAGGACTATTGCCCCCAACACCCCTCAGAGTCTCTCCAACCTTAGTGAACAGACTTCATAAATATTCATCAGCTCATTTGCATAGCAGCTGGCAGAAAAACCTCACCTTCCTCCTCTAAAGTGTGAAAGGAAAAGGGGCTTGATGAGATCTGCATCCCTGACCCCAATCCTCCACACTGGTACTTTCTTAGTATCCTCCCCCTAACTGGGAAAACATGGTCTGCAGGAAGCCCAAGAAAGTACCAGGGATTACAAGGAGTAGCATTGTAGACAGTGAGAATGAAGCCTGAAGCCAGGTACAATGCTAGTGATACCCTACAAGGAACCCAATAAGCTTCTCTTTTCCTCAACTGGTTAGGAATAGGAGTAGGAGAGAAGAGGCAATCTGTAATTTAAACTTTAAAAAGTCTAAGTTCATTTCAAAAACCCACATTTCAAAAACTACTACCCCCCCCCCCTCCATCAAGCCAAGCTTTCTTGCCTGGGGCCACCCCCAGACAAAGCCCTTTTCTGGCAAATAAGGGGATTGACATGGCCCAGCAGGAAGCCTGAAGCAGGTCTCCATGGTAACCTGAGGTCTTCCCTCCTTAGCCTCTGATATCCCTGGGACCCCAGGGAGCCACCCCAGGGAGTAAAAGGACGTGGGGTGGCAACCTGAATTATTTCAGCTCCTGTCTTATGGAACTGCCCTTTCCTTTCCTCTCCAGCTCAAATCCATTTGTCTTTCGACCTTTCTACCTATAAGTATCACCATGACTGCTCAAAAGAATCCTGGGACATGTAAAGTTGAGAGAATCTGGTGACAGTAGCCCCCAAGGTCCTGGACTGGTCAGAAACCAATGGCTCCCACTCTCTACCTCACACATCTTTTGTCTAGATGGGCCTTTCTTCCACCTACATGTGATTTCCAGGGGCAAAATTTGTGGCTGGAACAGTCATGGCCAGGACACTGTCCACATCCGACCAGGTCTTTACTTCTTTCCCTCTAACCCTTTCCTCAGGTTCTAGTGACTTGTGGTCAGAGAGTGACCAAACAAAAAGCCTGATTCCCAAGTTGTCCAAGTCCATGTGTGACAGCAGACTCTAATCCATGGCCTTGATTTACTGGCCTCACCACTACTGGGCTTACACCCCTCAGGGTAGCAAGAGTAGTGGAGGGCAGACCCCAAGCCAGAACTCAAGTCTGCTCTCATCCCAGCTAGGGTGGGGAGCCCCCAAATTAAAGGCTCCTCTTTCACTCCCCCAGCTCCACCCAGCCCCCAAGGCAGCAGGAGCAGGCCTGGCGTGTCCCAGCAGTGCCCGCCCAGGCGTGGGTGGGCAGGAACAGCAGCTGGGTCCTGGCACACACACAGCTCTGTGGAAGGCAGAGGAGAGTCCCAGAGGAAGTCACCCTCCCCACCTATGTGAACTATGCCCTCTCCTCTCTGTCTCACCTGGCCAAAGCTAGTATGCTAGAGGCTGAACACCCACCCTTACCAGCCCATTGTCTGCTTTGGTGGGTCCCTGAGAGGAAGAGATAATCAGTCCAGAGAGGAACTAAGGGAACTTCTCAGAGCTGGTACTAAGTTGGTCGTCACCTAAGCAGGCTTCCCTAGGAAAGTTAAGTGAAGCTGGAGAACTTCTAGCCTTAAACAGGAAGAGTCTGAGTCACAGTGCTCACCCACTTGTGAAGTGAGAGGGAGAACCCAGGGGCAGCAGGGAGCCACAGCCTCTTCCCAAACCCCACCTTACATTCCTGTCTCCTCCAGATTCCAAAGCAGCAGAATGGGGTGGAAAGAAGAAACCGAGATCCTAACTTTGTTCCCTTTAAACAAGTCATTTCTCTCTTCTGGGCCAATGCCTCCTTATCTGGAAAATGGGGCCAATACCTACTTCCAGGGCTGTTGGGAGTATCCAATGAGATCATATATGAAGATACGTTGTAAGTAGCACAAAGCTGCCTGCCTATTACTTAGCACACCAGCCATGCAGTATCATTTAAGCTGAAAGTGCTTACACTCCCAGGCTGCTAGCACCCAGCCCCAAAACCACTACCACAGAACCCACTTGGGAAGAAGAGCTTCTATGGCCCACAGGGATTTTCAAAATGTAGCTGTTGAGTATCCCCCACTTCAGTTCCCTTCACCACCATCCTCCAAACCTGGGTTCTCATGGCAACCACAAGCCTCCTAGCTAGCAGACTCTCCTCCTAGCCGTAACCCATGCAAACAGTGATGCACAAGGCCTGCCCATCCCTATTCACCTGGATTAATGAGACAACAGAAAGCCTAAAAGGAAGAAAGGGAACCCTGGCTTTCTGCCTCACAAGCCCTTCTTACCCTAGTCTGGCTGCCCTTTGTGGGGGCAGGGAAGCAAGGGAACAGGGTATGGTAGAGACCTCTCGGCTCCCAGCACCCTCAGGCCCCCCACCTGTAGCCAATCAGCCAGAATAGAAGAGGTCAGGTCCCTAACCACCCCGGAAAGGGGCCCCCTAAGTTGGCCTCCCCTAAGACTATGAGCTAGAACAGCTGGGAGGGGGCTGGGACCAAACCCTTCCACTTGAAACAGGCAAGCATGGGTTGGGGTCTGCAGCTGCCCCCTCCCATGCTAAGTCAAGGGTCCTGGATGTCAAGAAGAATCTCCACGGCTGCCCCAGTAAGGAAGGTTTGTAATGTGATCTCAGGCAGGGTGGGGGAACCTGAGTGGGGAGCAGGAAGGGGTCAGAATGGGACTGAAACTGAACTATAGCAGCTGGACTTGGCTGAGGACTCAAGTGTGAGGCCTGCCGGCTGCCCAAACCACCCCCCACCCCCCACCCCAAGAAGGGAGTTGGGGGGAGGAGGCCACCCTGGGACCATTTAAATTACAGTCCCCCAACTAGGCCAGCAGGAGCACACACTGGTTTCTACCAAACTCCACTTGGGAACAAACCCATCTCCCTACTCTGCACTCTTGGGGTGAATCTGACAAGAGGGGCCCAGGAGGCAGAATCTGCCACCCAGAAAATACCACCCTAGAAGGCCTCAGCACCAATTTGGGAGAAAGGACTGGAGCTTTCTTGCACCTTGGAACCTAGAAGCAGATCCCTAGCCCCACCACTTCTTTATTTTGATTTTTTTTTTTCCCAAGGAGGAAGCAATTAAGCAGAGTTTATAGGCACTAAGAGATTTTTTTTTGGGGGGGGGGGTGCCAGCTCTTGACAGGGCTGAAGAGAGAGACCAAAAGCCAGGAAAGAGGGGAGGGAAGAGAGAAAATGAGCCTGCGAGGGAGAGGGAGAGCACGGGCATGTGCAAGAAACAAAAGGACTTGAGAAAAAGAGGCAGAGAGTGACTAAGAGTGAGAGGGAGTGTGAAAGAGGGAGAGCTGCGAGCTGAGCTGGAGAGGGGAGGTGAGCGGGAGCTCAGAGGGTGTGAGAAGGCAATCCACACACCCGGGTCTGGGCCTGAGAGGGAGAACTCACTGGAGCAGGAGGTTTAGGGGAAAAGAGACAGAGGCTGTTGATTGGAAAAGCTGTGGCAGCAGCTTGAGGGTTGGGCGCGGTGGCAGCCCCTAGAGCCCAGGGGGAAAGGAGGGCAGTGCTTCTCTCCTGTCCTGCCCCACACCCCACACCAACACATGCAGCAGACATAGGCTGCATTCCAGACCCCTGAGCATAGATGAACTCTGGAGGGGTGGGGAGCGCACCAGGATCAGTCTTGAACATTTCCAGAATCTGCTGTATTATAGCATGGAATTCAGGCAGGTTCTGCTGAGTTGCCCCCCTCTCCACCCCAGGATTCCTGTCCCAAGCTTAAGGTAGAAAGGGTAGAGGACAGGCAGAGGGAATACACCTTCCACCTCCCCCCCTCACAAAATTTATAAATGGGTCCAAATCACTCTAAACACAAAAAGAGAGAAAGCTCAGAAAGATCTAGTTCCTCCCAGCACCCTCGACTCTGCAGGAAAGCTCTTTTCCAGCTGTGGAACTGCTTGCTATCTCTGATTAGAGACCAGAGAGAGCAATTAGGTCACTCCCATGAGTCCCTAGGATGGGCTACCCGAGGCAGATTGCAACTCTCCAGGCTCCACAGCATTTCCAACCTCCACCCTTACAGGGGAGAAGCTAGCACTGCTAAACGTTTGTCCCTGGGCTTCACAGCCTCAGGTCCCCCAACTATTTTGGGCCCCCACAGTTAAAAGTACTATACCCAATTCGATACCATAGAGGTAAAATTCTTTGCAGTCCTTTTCCTTTTAGCCAGGCAAAGCCCTCCACCCTGATCCTGCTTTAGCCATCTCCCCCACCCTAGCTTAACCCAAGGGGGAGAGGACCAAAGAAGCTGCCTTCTCCCATGTCAGGGCTGAGACATGGATCCCTTTCCCAAGCGTCCAAGGCCAGCAGGAGCTGGTGTAGTTAGTGGGAGCCCAGCAAGTGTGGTCAAGGAGAAAAGTGCAGATACAGAAATCAGAGCATAGATGGGACAGGTCAAGCCCTCCCCCAACCCTGGTTTCCCGCTAAACTGGGGTTGTTCACACATTGCCGGGTCCTCCAGAAAACAGGGAAGAAGAGCAATTTTGACCCCGAGTTCCAACTCAAGTCTCCAATGCCAAAAGAGGAAAAAGGTCCAGAGGTCACTACAACAGCCAGGCTGCTCCTCACAAACAGCCCAGAAACCACTGAGCCACCGCCCTGAAAGGTGTGTGTTGTTCCGGGGTGGGGGGGGGAATTATGAGGGGGTTAAGAGAAGAAAGAGAGAAAGAAAGGATTTCCTTTATATCGCCATCCCCCCCCCCCTCCAATCCCTTTGCAGAAAGCTACGAACGGCTTCTCAATCCGAGGGACTTAAGGGGGGGGGGGGGGGGGCAAAGGGACCTGCCTGGGCAGGAATCGCTCACTTCCCACCCACCTCCCTCGCTGGCTCCACTGCCACTCTCCGCCCGACTGGCCCTCGAAGCAGTTCCACTGCCGGCTCCATTGGACCCCCGACGGGCACTGGATCGAACCCTCACACACACAACAACCCTCTCCCACTCCGCCCCTCTCCACCAGCCGCCTTTGTGAGCCTGGGAGCGGCGCCCGCCTTTCTACCGCCCCGGTAGAGAGAAAAGGGGTGGGGGGGGGGCGGCAAAAGGAAAAGCCAGGGAGGCAAACAGACAGGGAATAAAGAAATGAAAATGCAAGGAGTCGGAGAAGGGACCCGGGCGCAGCCACCCGGCCCAAGCCAGGCTTGGGGGTCCCATGCCGCGTTTTCCCCACACCTAAGCAAAGGAAGAACTTGTGCGGTGGCTTTCCCCCCTCCCCCGCCCGGGTCAAGCTTGCTCCCGGAGCTGCTCTCGCCGAACCCCACCACGTTCCCAGGGGCCTTGAACGGGGCTGCGTTCTCTCCCCCACCCAGTTCTCGGGTGCGCTCTAGAGTCCTCATCTGCCTGAAGCGACCATCCCGACTCTCAAGTCCCAATGTGCGGAAGCAAGGGCCGGGAAGCTGAGGGGTCACAACCAACCGAGCTCAATGGCCCCCACCCCACCCCGACGCACCCTTCCTTGCCTGCCCGCAAGAGAACACTAGGAAAAGAAAAAGCTAGAAACAAAATGGGGCACCACTCCTCTAAACACCTCCCGCACTCACTCGGAGGGTGCGTGGCCTCACCTCCAAAAGCGGGGGAGGGGGGGGGGCACCTCCCATTCCCTGGGACCAGACCAGATAAGTTACTCACTTGGGGTTGAGGGAGCTCCAGGACACGGGCTCCAGGTTCTTCGCCAGCGGTGTGGCCAGCCGGCACAGCGTTAACACGACCATTGCCACAAGCCACTTGCTGAGCCAACGTTGCCCAGGCCGGGCCATCTTCCCGGGGGCAGGATGCACTGAGGGATCCCCTGGCGCCTCCTCAGCAAAGCTTGCGTTGCCTGCCTGTGCCGCGCTGCGCTCGCTCCGAGCCACTCAGGCGCCCATCCTCCGTAGCCGCCGGCTTCGGTGTCGCTCTCCTCCGCCCGGCCGGCCAGGAGGACTCACTGGGCAGGCGCCCCCAACCCTGGCATGAGCTGCGGCCTCCGAGGGCTCGGCGCCCCCGGGTGATCCCGCCTGATTCGGCTCGGCTCCCCGAGACTATCTGGGACTCCGCGCCCTCTTCCCGATAGGATCTCCCCACCGAGGATTCGTTGACGGTCCAGACTCCTCGATAGTCCCGGGATTGACACCCCTGCGAAGAAGCGGGGATCTCCCGTAAACGCGGGCTCGGTCCCCAGGCTCCCGATTGGGTTGCCCTGGCACGGGCTCCGTTCCTCCGTGCCACACTGGGACTCCGGGCTGTGCTCCCCTAGACAGCTTCTACTTCAGCGCGGGTCCCCGCTTAGTGTACTTAAAAGACCAAGGAGACACTGCCGAACCAGCCAGTCTCATCAGTTTACGCCTCTGAAAGCTCGGCCCGGTAGCCCGGCAGCCCCGTCACCGAGTGCTAGTCTCCCGGCGGTTGAGCCCGAAGGTCTGCGGCCACAGCTAGTCGCACACACCTCCCACTGCTGTCCAGCGCGCATAGACTCCCTCCGCCGCCGCCGAGCTTTCTACTCTCCTGTTCAGGCGAGCGCAAAGTCAACCCTGCTCCGCATAGCCAATAGCAAGCTCCGGAATGGGGTCCTTGCCCCATGCCACGCCTCCAGAGCAGGAAGGGGGCGGGGCTTCGGAGAGCTCTTAAGGACGCCGCGCTCCTGATGGCACCAATCTGAGTGTGCGGTTCTTGCGGTTTTGATTGCGTCCTGCTTCGTCCAGTTCCCAGAGCGCTCTGCCCGTGGGAAGTTAGCGCTTCTCAAGAGCAGCCGGCCTACTTCTTCTTCCCTCGACTCTGGTCAACAGCCAGGCCGACTGACCTAGGCCAGACAAGCCCTATTCCGTGTACCCTCGAGAAATGAGAATACTTCCGCACCAACACACGCCCTGGAAATCCTTGTCCGTACCCACTCTGTGGAAAAGATGGCCTGTGTGCTCCCCGACCAATACCACACAGGGCTCTAGTGACCTTTCTAGTTATGGCCCACAAAGACACTGTCTTCTTGTACTAAGCCTAACAAAACGGGTGATGGATGGATATTTGGTAGGCTCAAGTATACTAGTGACAAATCCTGTCTGCTTTCCATCCAGGATCATGTAGAAGCGTTGTGGGCTTTCCTTCCAACCTTGAGATTGATCATTAGCATGCACTGAACCGAACAAAAGTGGGGGAAAGTGAGTTTTTCTTTACTTGATACCAAGCGCTCAGAATCTTTAAGAGGTACCCGGGAAGAGCACAGATTTCGAATCCTATCTGATATGAAAGAACGGGCAAGACTCTAGCAAGAGTGCCTCTATAAAGAAAGATAGCTTGAGGGCTAAGAGGGAAAGGCTCAGGGCAGGAGCCTTTTACAAAAGCAAAAGCATACATCCTGGCTCTGAAATGCCCAGACTCCAGTCTTCTTGGCCTCACCATCTGGGCCTTTGTCTCCCAGCCCTGGCCCATTCTCTCCGCCCCTTCTTGCTTCTTTGCTTATAACTTGGCTCCATCCCATACATAGCTCAGACCCTCCCGGTCTGACCTACTCTCTTCCTTAGACCCCAGCAGAGACACTCACGAGCTGATGTCTCCCCCTTCTGGCCCACTATAGATCTGCAGGCACGTGGGACAACCCTGAAGCTCACAACCAGATTGACATATCCAAGCCTAGCATACCTACGAGCAGCATAAACAAGCCTGGCATACCTAAGCCAAAGTTTGAATATAAGACCTGAGACAAGGTGGCATTGTCAACATTCGCCATCTGGTGGCAGGAGGATGGGAAAAATTAGAGAAAGATCTGGTGTCAGGAGGATGGGTTGCGGGTTAGCTTTGGGACTGCCAGGGATCGAAGTCTCCCAATTGCATGGTTTTTGTCATTGTGATTAGGGATTATTTTGGAGGTGGGGTGGGAGGAGTTGGTGCTGGGCACGTAACCCAAGGCCTCAGGCTTGTTGGACAAGGGCTTAACCCTTGAACTAAATCCTCAGTTCACCTTGATACTTCTTTGTGGAGATAACAAGGTGAGCAACACTCCCTCAGGCGTGGCCACATTTAGTTGGAGGAAAAAGGCTGGAAAACATTTTGGTACAAGAGAAAATAGACACATATGCTTCTCATCAGCTTCCCATCACCCGTGTACCTGAATTCATAACTTTGTATCAGTGCTATAGCTTCAATGCTTTGCCACCTTTATGGAGTTTTATATCCATTCTATCTCCCTTGATGGGAGACTTAGCTACTGGGTTTCTCATGGCACCATCTGGTGATGCCTGTGGCAATAGAGGAGGACCTCTATTTGGGGAGAAATAAAATGGTAGAAGCTGAGCTTCTTCCATTAGAGATAGCCTTGAGGGTGAGATGACTGTTGGCAGACAGGGAGGAGCAAGAGCTGTCTAGAATTTCCTGCTCCCAGCTGGGGAGTAAGCAAGAAGAGATATGAACAAGGTACAAGGACACAACACACAGTCCAACTGGGAGATTAGGATTCTTGGCACGCACACCAGGATCTCACAATTTGAATAGAGAAAGCAGCATGCTGCTTACTGAGTACCTACTGTGTGTCAAAAGCCTTAGCTGTTTTTCCTTTATAGCCCTGTGAGATGACTTCCATGATTCCCATTTTACTTAGGGAGAAGCTAAGATCTGGAAAAGGTGGGCAAGAAGTGAGCCATATAAGTTCACTGAAGTGATCAGTAAGGGAAGCAGGACTTAACTCCTGCCATCTTGGTCCCCATACATTGTGCTCATTGCCTCTGTGCCATACTCATGGCACATTTCTAACCCCTTTCTGTTTTTTCTGTGTTTGTTTCATTCATTCCAGATTAAAAGCTGGTTCATGCCTGGCAAGCAGCAGTCTTACACAATGACCATGACTGTACTCATAGTCTTCCTGAAGGTTATTAGGACTGAGAAAGGAGATAGATAGATAGACAGACAGACAGACACACACACACACACACACACACACACACACACACACACACACACACACACACATAATCACCTGCCCATAGGCCAAAGTTTTGAAGTAGGACCATCACTGACAATCTGAGAACTAGCCTCAGATTCTCTCTCTCTCTCTGTCTCTCTCTTTCTCTCTCTCTCTGACTCTTTCTCTGTCTCTGTCTCTCACTCTGTCTCTCTCTCTCTGTCTCTCTCTCTCCACAGTTTTCATGCCTTGTGCTCCTGGGGAGAGCAGCCCCAAACCAAGCATGAGATAAGGGTGATGTGGCTTCGCTGCCAAACTCAAGAAACCTGGGCAGACAGAAGTCATTCCTGAGTGTGCCAGCAGCTAATCCTGAGTGGGAAGGGTGGCAGAGAAAAGGAGAGGACTATACGTCCAGGCCTGCTCCTCATGCTGGCCACCCCTGCTCATGGCTTAGCCTGTTTGCCTCAACCTGTCTATGCTACAGGGGCCTCAGGAGCTAAACCTTACCTCCTCCCTGCCACAGCCAGGACGTGTGACTCCAAGTTCCCACTATAACCTCACCCTGGAAGTGCCTCAGACATTGTGATTCAGGCCCCCGAGGTAGGGGAAAATGACTTTCCAGGGGAGCCTGAGAGAGAAGGTCAGAAGCCATGGGGGATGGTGCCTTCTCTTACCTAAGCCTTGTCTATTTCTTTGTCACCCCTCCCAAGACTCCCAGGTCATTGTGTCAACACACATATCATACCCCCCCACACACCCACACAAGATTCAAGTCCCCCATTGTTGCTGAACACTAGCCTTGTGTTGGGCTAGTGCTGGTGCCCCACCAAGCCTCACGCATGAGAGTGCTAAGAATTGAAGTGCCTGGGGAGGAAGGACACTCACGGACTCAGGGATGGAAAACATGTGGGCCCTGCAGGAAATCTCAGGTGTTGTACTGTCTCCTGAAAAGCTAGAGAGAAGTTATTTCAAAGCTCAGCTGCCTACATGAAAGGCAGTGGGGACCAAACTTCAGAGCCAGGGAGTCACTGTTCCTTGGGCATGGCACCTCCTCTGATTGTGCTTTGGTTCCTCTCTCTATCTTGAGAGCATCCTCTGCCTCACAGGGCCATGCCAAGGGCTAAATGAGATAATGTACATGAAAGGCTTAGCATGGGGCCTGGCCCCACCATGGTGCTTACTAAATGGAAACTCTTATTCTTTCCCAGAGCCTCCCACAGAGACACTCTCATCCCCAGACACACACGTTTGCACCCGTTCACACACGCTCTATGTGCCACACATGCATATTTTCCAGCTCCCTCGTATTCTTGCACTCGAAGACCAGTTCCCAGCAGGCTCTCATTCATTGTCTCCCCTGCCTCTGCCCTCCGCACCAGGTAATAAACCTGAGCTCTACCCTCGTGCAACTTAGAGTCTTCACCTTGGCCTTGACCTCTCCCTGTCTGGCTTGTACTTGGAGACACAAAGGAGTAAAGCAACTCACCCAAGGCCACACAGTCAGGGACAAATCAGGATTCCAACCTAGCCCATCTGGCTAAACCACCAGCGTTTTCATACTGGTATCCCAGAGCTCTGGAAATGAGTGTGTGTTAAAGTGTAAGCCTTGGTGAGCCACCGGACTGAGCCTGATTGAACACCTGGAAAAGCAGGCTGCCGGCTCAAGGAGTTAAGAATCTTAATCAGAGGCCCACGGCAATGCCAACATCACCTCTGCACCATCCCCCCAACCCCGTCCCCATCTCCTGTCTGTCCTCTAGAAAGCTTTCTGCCAGACTGTCTGCACCTTCCCTGAGCTAGACACATCCACTATGGCTGGTGCTTTGCATAATCTTTATATCAGCGCTGGTGGTGTGGCTCAAGTAGTGTAACATCTGCCTAGCTAATGAAAGCCCCCCAAGTTCAAATCCAACTACCGCCCTCCAAAAAAGATGATTATCGTCCCAATGTTCCTGGTGTTGTTTTTGGTAGACTTGGTATAGAGATGGGCAGGATGAGGCTCCAGACTTGATCTGGTTGTATCCCCTACTGCCTCCATACAAAGTCCAATATTGCTTAGCTAGCTGATTCTCCTGCCTCCATACTTCCCTTTTCTCCCACTTGCTTTCTAGCTCAGTCCAATGGGGCTGCTGGCGCCACCAGGCTTCCTTCCTCCACCAGAAATCTCTCACTTTTTCCCAGGTCATTCAACATCCTAGGTCAATCTCAGGACAAGTTTAAGGTGCCACCCGTCTTCTTTCCTGCTCCTACTCCACCTTCCTGGCATCATACTGCCCTAGAGCTAAGGCAAATGAAACCCCAAAGAATGGATGGGCTGAGGAAAGAATGGGTGGTCCCAAAGGCCAAAGATTCAAACTTCATTTTTAGCTTAGTCCATCCTCATCTTCACCCCATTCCCACCCTACCCGCAGGCCTGGTTTATGGATATTTAAATTAAAGATAGTCTTCATCTGCCTAATGGCGGCCTGCCCTTGGGTCAAGCTGATGCATTGATGACAATGGGGATGAAAGAGGTCTGCTCCCTTTTCCACCTTCTATCTTTATCCCCTCCACGTATCCCTTTGCCCCGTCCTGGACTCCTAGACTTCTGTTCCAAGCCTTCGGGAC